TTAGACTTTGGACTCAGGTTGGCCGAAGCAAGGAAATTATGTTCAGGTGGGGACTCTCAGAAAACTCAGACCTGGACTATATGTGCGGAGCAGTGCAGTCTATGGCCCATCTGATGTCCTGTCCTGCCTGCCCTTTTACCTGTTCGCAGCAGGATCTGATGGATGCCACAACGGTACGGTTTTACGGTGGTAGGGCCACGCAGCAGCCTCGGCTGTTGCACGAATGGGCAGGCTCGTCCGGGTAAGTACCACGACCTCACAGAAGACCGGCGTAAAGTGGAAGTATGATAAATACTTTCGGGTTTCGTCTGGTGAGTGAGGTGGCCGGAGCCCAATTTCCAAAAAGGTTGTCAACGCATCTGCAAACCCTCGGGTGTAGCTGATGTCCATGGGCGGCGGTACTCACTTAACATCAGGTGAACCGTCTGCTCGTTTGGCAACTTTTCACACGTAAAAAATAAAAAAAAAACAAATTGTGCTGTCGAAGTGGCTAAGTTCTGGGCTGGAAAGATATGATCTGTCATCGACACGTACAGAAGAAGAAGAATTGTCCGAAGAAATTCAGTAATTACGACATCTTCAGTCAGTGCACTTGAAGTGGATGGCTGGATGTCTGAAAAAAATTAAGTAGAGGGGCAGTATAAATTAGGTATTAACTGAGTATTTTTTTTTGAATTGCTGAGGCGATAATCCATCAATTTAGAAACTGGATTGGGCCTATGCCCAGTACTGGCCATCAACCGGCTGAAATGATAATAATGATGAATACCTAGTCTTCATGTACAACAACTAGATATCTCCCTCTTAACATGGGTGGCAACGAATTAGAGTTAGTTACCTCTAAAACCTTCTCAAAGGCACACGAGCCACGGTCATTTTAGGTAGGTTCATAGTTCTACTAGCCAAGCAGTACGTAAGCATATAGATACGTAAGTACATAAATCTTATAGGTACTTACCTTTAGGAAATTTTAGTAAATCCAGAATTTGCCTAGAGGTTTTTCAAAACTGTCTTTTTCATATTCTTTGTGATTTTATCGTATTCAAAATCACACTAAACACAATATTAATCTAAAATACAAAAAGAACTCGATAATTATGTAAGTCAGTACTTATTATAATATTGATACTGAGAGCGCATCATTTCACTACCTAAATATTATTTGGTACTGATTTAAAGTAAACAACCACGGCGATTAACCAGCTCGTGCCGAGTACTCGGTATTGGTCTATCCCTTTCTTTATCTTAAGAAATAAAGAAAGCGATGCGTATTACTTGTGGCTCGTGGTAATAAAGAATACAGCAATCTTAATTTGAGTGTAAACAACGCTCCGATAAACTTTTGCAAAAGTCATAACTGTATTTTTTTTTAAATACAATTAAATGTTAACCAACATTACCATATTTTTCAAATAAAATTACTACAGGAATAGTATTGTCAGTATACTTTACTAGAACTCGAGTTTGCTCTTTTTTACTCGTTCGGTGGGAGGAGCGATATATATAATGGGAATCTCGGAAACGGCTCCAGCGATTTTTATGAAATTTAGTATGTGCGTAGATTCGGGGGCGAAAAATCAATCTAGCTAGGTTTCATTTTTAGAAAATGTCCTTTTATCCCTGTTTTCAGGGAATGTCATTTGAATATGACGGTAAATTTCGCCGCAAAAGAAAATGTTATAATAGCTCGGTCGGTAATCGGGCGGCCCCAAAACAGACGGCCGTGGTTCGTATCACGATCATTTACACACTTTTTTTTTTACTTTTTTTTCGATTCCAGATCATTGCTTTCTTTATTTTTAATTTTTTTGTGGATTTGTTATTTTGTTACTATTTTCCCTTTTTTTTAAAAGTTGTTTCTTTTGTGAAAAACGCCACTTCATATTTTCTTATTATTAGGTCGGTAAGATCGAAAAATATTACGCATATTTACTCAGTAATTTGTATCTAAATGTAATTTCCAAAACACACGATTTACCAAAAAAAACAAACCGAGAAAAGCTCGGTCCTCCGGGTACTATCGTTAAAGATTGCAATGTAGATTATCAATTTAGCAAGAACCATAATAAAGGCTTGTTTTGATTTTTTTTCTTTTAATTTTATATACATGTTGTTAATACAGAAACTAGAAAAACATTATGTTCAACACAATGTTTTTCCGGTAGTGGAAATTAAACACACACCTAGCGCAAAAGACAGTATTTACCCTTACAATACGCCATTCAGCCTTTAATAAGGCAAGTTATAAATTTTAATTGAATATCTAGTCTTATTCGAGATTTTCATCGTTTGCTCGAAATTTAAGTGTAACGTATTTATTCCCTCCAAAGTGATAAATTCCGGGTACCCTGGGAAATTTACAAAATGAGTTCTGGATTTAAATGTCTCGAGATATATGAGATGAACGTACGCTAAACGATGACGAAAGTTTTGTTTTAATAAATTTTGCGTTACAACCGCGCAAGTCTAATGATGTAAGTAGTAAATGACTTATAAAATGTACAGAAAAAATCTACATTACTCGATGGATGAGATTATTACTAAACCCATTTTATTATGCATAGTTACATATTATGCATTTTTTTATTTATTTGTATAAGAAAATAAATTACAAAGATATTAAACTGATAGAAACACAAACTCATAAGAGTTTTACCTTGTAACAGTATCATCAATCGTGTATACATAGTTACTACCATAAATCACATATCACCGTTTAACATAAGAAGATGAGTATTAAGAGGAAGATAATTTGAAGAATAATTAATACAGTATGTAGATACTAATATAAGTGGAAGAACATTGAAATTAATGTTTATAGAAATTCAATAGATGTAAGGAATTAAGCATTTCCATAATTGAATCTCATATTATTTGTGAAAACAAATTCATTGAATTATACGTGCTTAATTATGGAATCCACCGGGGAAATAATTTCCGGGTTAACAACCCAAATGGACTTGTCTTGGTCGAGTTTTGATGAAGGCTGGGGACGGTCTATTGCGACCTTATGTGAAGTACCGTGGCACGTTGCAAAATGACCGCTTATACATATACCTCTGGGAAATTTATGAAATGATTTGTGATCGCCATTTCTTCTGTCGTATTTATTTTGCTTTGGACTACGACCTGTTAGACCTCAACAACCACGAATCTAATATTTCATTATTTATTTATTATAGGTCATCAACTAAAGAAACAATAAATTGATATTGAATAGGTTTAATTTAATCATAAAGTTATGATAATGTTATGTACATATTAAAACTATAAAATTTACTAGACTAAGACTCTAGAGAAAAGAAAACTACTTCTAAAAATTGTCTTTTATCTATGAGAAAAAATAAAATAAGAAAATTTTAAATTTGAAGTTGTTAACATACTGTAAAATAATAAACCTTAGAGGAATACGTGATTAAATTATACTTTGAAATAAATTAACTAATTTGTTTCAAAATATACCGCTTCATAGCTTTTTCAGATACAAGCGACAGATCGCTTGTATCTGAAATTTGTATTTTCAATTATATATATATATATATATTATACACGTAATTTAATTTTTTTTATAATTTATAAAAATATATATAAAATATAAGTTTTTTTTCTTCCCGCAATTTAATACGAAAGTACTTCCTCTACCTAGCTTAGGGGTAATAACCAGGTCGAGTACAGTAGGTACCTTACTAAATCGAGATGTTTGCATTCAATCATTAAAACTTCGAAGTTTCGTAGTCTGAAAATTGCGAAACGGGCGTGAATTGTTGGAGCCAAATTTTGTGATCCGTACAAAGTTGATCCTAGTACACAAATAAAGTACCTTTGTAGTAAACTTGCACATTTATATTGGGGTTGAGCTTCGTTCATTGTAATAAAAAATCTATAAAGTTATAAATCTCGTATAACATTTATGTTTCTGTGATAATATGTTTTTTTTTTTCTTTAACAAACTCAACATCATTGCATGGTACACAGATAGTCAGTTATAGTTTTTTTTTTTTTTTTAAATAAAAGAAATCTTTGTTTATTTTAATAATTACATAGAATTATTCGACGACCTCACAGAAGATCGGTGTAAGGTAGAAGTGTAACACTTCTGCGTTTTTAAACCGAACCGCCAGCTCGTTTGCCACTATTTCACATAAATAAAATAATTATTGAAAGCTCAATTATTTTATATATATATAGTTTACTCAACTTATACTATTTAATGTAAATACAAGGTTTTACACTTCAGTTTATTAAATCGCAATATCTGATAAGTACATCAAAGAGCTCAGTGGACGTTTTCGTATTCCAGTTAAATGCTCGTATGTCAACATAGCTGGGTCTGGGCTTTTAAAGTATTTCACGATTTTCACGTGATCTGCAACTAAGTCCAGCGTTGCTTTTATTGATACTATTTTTTTCGTTTAAAATTTCAGATCCAAAACTAGACTAATAATAAAAATGTGTATACAGGCAATATCATAGTTATATTGGTCGAATGTGCTGTTTTCATCCTTCAAAAGATAAAAACTTAACTACGTGAATGGAAATGTTTTGACTACTAATAAACGTGTTACGAATTCGAATTTCTCTGGTGGTAGGGCTACGCAACAGTGTTTGCCGTTGCACGAATGGGCAGGGTCCGTCCGGGTTAGTACCACGACCTCACAGAAGACCGGCGTCAAGTCAAAGTGTTACACTTCTGCGTTTCGTCTGGTGAGTGAGGTAGCCGGGGTCCACTTCATTAAGAAGTGGCAACGTATCCACAACCCTATGGGTATTGCTCGTTTGCCGCTTTCTCACATTTTTTTATTTAATTAATTACGGTTTTTCTTATGTCTTGTATTGGTTTCTCGTTCAAAACGTACAGCAAGATTTCATTTTATCGAATTCAAATCGCCAATCGGAGATAACACTCCTGGTGTTGGCAAGCGATGTCCGGCACGTTCGTCGCTCTACTATGCGCACTTCCTGATAAAGAATTTCATTAATGTCACAACGGCCCCGTACGAATGTGTTCCAAGGGTTCGTTCTGCATATTTGAAACTCGATGAGTTGTGTTTCTTAATACGATCGGATGGGAAACGCTTACAGCGCACAATCTGTCGTCAACGGTTATAATTTTGAATCATTATACACAAAATCAGTATATACAAATGAAATTGATAGACTCAATATAGATAGGTTTCGGTTTTATAAGTGTTATTTTCAGTCGGTACTTTGTTATAATATTAAAATAATTCTCTATAATGTATTGTTTCTAAAATCCTGTGGCATCGTTCATCCCCTCTGTAAGCCACTGAATATTTTTTACAGAATTCCTGTTAAGATCTCTTATTTCAAAAAACTTTAAGCGAGACTACTAAACGAAATACGAATAATATTACGATGTTTCTGTTTTAAATTTAGAAAGTTATGATACACCGGTTTCAAACAAATAATAAAACATTTCGTTCTTACGTAATTTTTCAGTTTTTGTAAAGAGCCAGGCGGACTTGTTTCAGGACTAGTTTTAGTGTTTGTTTATAACGAATACGCCGCGTTCAATACTTTCGCTATTGTTTTCAAGTTACGTGCAAACTCGGCAACATCGAGCTTTATGCCATCGAAATATGTTCGAGGTCTCTGAAACACACACACGAAGTATCTGTCTATGTTGTAATAAAGCCATCGGACATTCCACCCAGCGGGTCCCTCATTTATCATTATTAGAGTTTGCCTGGAATGAAAGCAATTTCCGTACGATTTCGCTTTTTAGATTGTTCTTAGAATGATTTCTGATTATACCTCTTGCGTGCGCTTTCTTAGGAGATCTTAATTGTATCTTGTAATAAATTTAAACCTAACACGGGAATGAAAATTTTATTAAAAACAATAAAAAATTATCGATGTATTTATATTATATACTAGGGACCCGCCCCGGATTCGCACGGGTGCAATGTATTATACATATAAACCTTCCTCTTGAATCACTCTATCTAGTAAAAAAAACCGCATCAAGATCAGTTGGGTAGTTTTAAAGATCTAAGCATACATAAGGACAGACAGACAGCGGGACGACTTTGTTTCATACTATGTAGTGATGCACAGCAAAGAGACGTTTACATTTCAAGTGACATTTTACCTCAGTCACTCACTTGTTTTGCCTTCCCGGAACCCCTCCACTAACACTTAAACTTTATGGTATGGTATTAAAGTTCAAATTGACTTTAAAGTATTATTACGAATCTTTTGTACGGGAATATAGAAAAGTGTTGTTTTTACACTTTCTCAGGCAATTTTTTAATTTTTTCTCTCCTTAAGAACCATCTTCCTACTTCAAGGAATATTATAAAAAAGAATTAGCGAAATCGGTCCAGCCGTTCACGCGTGATGGCGTGACCCAAGGAAATAGGGATTCATTTTTATATATGTAGATTTAAGCCACATCTAATAAATGATCCACAAATTTCAATGTTATTATTTATATTCTGTTAAGTACAAGTATTAAAAGTAATTTAAGGTATGCAAAAGATGGTCTTAATTTATAGTAACTATATTTTATAGGTATTGCTTACGGCTTGGTTTTGAACTTGAAGTTGACATTTTATACAATAATTTCATTAAGACATCGCTTTTTCTAAATTTTAAAACTTGCATTAATAGTTATTTATACGAAAATAATATATGTTAGCCTTTAGTATTAAAGCAAAATAGTATATTAATTATTGGTAGAACAATTTTTTTCCTTTTGTTAATTCCGCGACGAGGCGGGAACATTCAACATATTAATTCAAATTTGTATATTCTGTTAAAATTATTAGGTACGACATAAACTATACAGAAGATTAAATTTTTACTAATTAATTTAAATTATAAAAAAATTATCTTAATAAGGCGTTAATTTAATGTACCTACATTGAAAGTTCGTTATGAATAATACGTGGTATTTCCATTAAACATTTACACAGAGAATTTCAATTCAATTGTCATAACCGACGTCCGTAACAGCATAATTACCGATGTGATTCGGAGTTATTTAAATTTTACCGCAACATTGTTTACACCATTTTGATGTACTTCGAATTAAGTTTTGTTTACTCTATAAGAGCACAAGAACCAAACAAAACTAACGTGTCCTTCTCTTTTCAGTGACGAAGTTCATTCGCATCGGCATCGCGGACAAAAATGATAACCCTCCATACTTCGACAAGGAACTGTACGAGGCAGAAGTGGACGAGAATGAAGATATCCAACACACCGTACTCACTGTCACCGCCAAAGATCACGATGAATGTAAGTACTTTAGAATTAACTGTTTATTTATATTTTATGGCAGAAGAAGGTCAGATGCGTTACCAAGCTATAAAAAAGTTGTCAGAAGAAACGCAAAGGAATAAATTCGACGTCTCAATGATGCGGTTCTTTCCTGGACCAGCCTGCCTGTCGTGCAGTTGTGCGTGGCTTCTACCACAGAATCAAGAAGAGAACTTATGTATATTTCAAATCAATATAACCTATATATATACTAGCGGACCCGACAGACGATATCCTGTCCACACTGCTTAAATCCGACAACAACTTAAGAATAAAAAAAATTAAAAAAAAATGTAGTGGAACGAATTGTAAATCTAAACCATTCTCAAATCGACCTGAAGACACAAAAAAAAACATTCAAATGTGTCCAGCCATTTAGGAGGAGTTCAGTGACACGTTCAGAAGAATTATATATTTAAAGATATGTTTATCTATCTACCATCATATCATTACCATCCATTACTATGCCATTATCATATTACTATACCTTATACTCGTAATTATACAAATTCATTGTGACGAAACTGAAGCAGCACAACATAATTGTTTTTGTATAATCAATATCAGATGATGGGAGCGATAACATTGACTGCCCTATTCCTATGTTTAACAGTTGATGTTCAAGGCTCTCATCATTTCCTCTCTCCTTTTTGTTCTTGACACATTCCTTCAAAACATGTTGTACATCCTCCTCAACTCCACACAGATTCCAATTCGGAGAGTTTGTTGTCTTCTAAATGTATGCATTGATGCATGACTCTTTCCAGTTCCTTTAATTTTGTTTTTAAAATTTATGTGCCCGTAAATATTTTGATTATAAATTTTCATTACCGAATAAAATTCTAACACCACCGTTAAACTGCAACTAATAAAATGTGATCATCGTTATGAAAATTACTTAGGAATGGATTTCTACTACTACTTTTATGTAAAGTTATGATTCGTAAGCTGAATGAGCACATAATTTACCGTTAATAAAAGAAAAGTAGTTTTTTTTCTATAACAGCTAATTAAACGTTGGAAACATTATCGAAACATAAAAATACTGATAAATGATCCGTATTTTTACAGATTTTGAATAGTACACAAACACTCATTATATATTATTGTCTGAAAAAAAATATTTAAATGTTTTTAATAAATGAAACAAAGATAAAACAGTAGTTTGAACTTGGCCATTGTTTGCTTCTTCTATGTTGTGTAAATTGAAAGCGAAAACGATCGAACTGATGTAAATAATGTTGTATACTGAAATCTATTTCATCTTGCAATTTAATAAATTTAATTTAATCAAAGCGAACAATATTATCATTTTTGAGAACACTGTAATAATACGTTCAATACATTGTTCAATAATTTTCCATTTCATTTCAACTGAAACAAATCTCGAATACAGTTTATCATTCATTGTAAGTCCCTCACCGGAGGTTTAATGTATAAACAAGACCACCTTGTGTTCACTGTGCCTGCTGTGGTGTAAATTTACCTGCTATGGAAACTGAGATATCGATCGCACTTCACAAATCATATCCGATATCGCTATCGCGAACGAACTGAAACTTGCAAACTCGTTTACTGAAGTGTCATAAAGCACTTCTAAACCGGAGTAAACAGTCGATAAATTGTAAAACTATCGTTCTGAGATTACAGTTAGGTTACATTCAGAAACTTCAAATGTGAAAAGTGATTTCAGTAGAAATATAATTTGGTATATATTGGTAATCTCCCAAAACCACCCCTAGTTATACATGCTACATCATTGCCTTTGACAAATAAATGTTTTTTTATTACAAATATTAAAAAAAAATACTTATAGCTCATCTCGGATGAAAAGACGGAAAATATTTAAAGTTGGTTGTAAACGTCATTTTTTTTCCAAAGGATTTTTTTAAGTATTTTAGATTACAATATAAATATGATGTCGATAGTTTCACGAATCCGGGACGAGCAAGCTAGTGTTACATTGTATCAGCAATTTAACGATTCCTTTTAATTAAGACGAAATGGGTGGATTGTCTTTCCTGTTTATTGTCCAGTATAAAATTTACGATGTTTAATTTGCTAAAATCAATATTTATTTAAACGATTGTATTGAATCGTTAGTCGTACTATAAAGCAAGTTACTTTAAATCTGGAATATCCAATCTAATCAACGCTACGACTTACAGGCAATTAGTTCTATTTGATATCCTGTTGAACACTATGTTGCGTTCATATAGCAAGGGCAAATTCCATTCCAAGTTACGTGATGATTACACAGATTGCTTAGTGAATTAACAAAATAAAAATATTCAATAAATAAATCATGAATAAAAAATGAAATAAATATTGTTTATACATAGGTCTCTAAATATTGAAGTCCCCACGTCATTGTATAATGTGTAACCTACTCAAATAAGTCAACGTTACACATGTTACATTTTACGAAAGTGTCACTATTTGGTATAAGAGCGAGTCTGGCACATGTACCCAGTGTGAAACTTTCTCGCGGGTAACTGTTACGCGTATATATTACATAACGCTTACATACACAATAACCGAGTACGTCCCAACGTGCTCAGCGTTTGATCGATGAGTTCGCACAGTTGCCACGATACATTATATCTGAGAATTTCCCCTTTGCACGCTCCTTAAACTGGCACTTATTAAACCTTACACTCCGTTACAGTCTAACAGTCACAATTTCCTTAAGATCCGAAGATTGTTCCAGTAATCAACAAAGATTACACTTTATATTGACTTTGTGCGTTTGACAATTTGAAAGTCTGATTTAACTCGACGCAACTTTATTCGAGTTGGCGCGCGCAATAATATTTTTCCCTTAGGACTTTTTGGCAGAATCGAGAAAATTGAAGGTATAATAAAATTTCCCCTTGTAACATCGTAAATCGTGTGAGGCCAGTGGTGTTTTTCTGTTATTTATACAATTACATAAATATCAAAGACTATTCGACTAAGGCATAAATATTTATTTAAAGTTAATTGACTGGTTAATGAATAATAAACAAGATATTATTAGTTTTTAAGAAAAGTGCCGTATTTAAGTTTGTTTTTTTCTTAAACGTAAACAATTTCACTTCATTTACGGAAATAAAATTGAACGCAGGTCGGGAGTACCCGGGAGCAAAAAGAATATCATTTCAGATCATTCTGATTTATATTTCAGCATTTCTTATCGAAACCTAGCTATTTCTTTAGAAGAATTTGTGTTAAGATTTTAATCTTGAGGTTTAAAAGCTGATAAAATTTATGGAAATAAGAGCTCAATGTTAAATTTTTCTAGACACAGGTTTTCTATTTACGTCATTATAAGTAGAAATTTATCATTAAGTCGAGTACTATTGAAAAGTGCTAAATTTTCTTCATTCAAGTTTCTATAAACGTTCAAGGACACTTCTGTTACGGCCTCTTTGAAATAATTTCCACAAAGTTCTATTATTTTCGGTTATTTTGACCGGTATCATCAAATATTTCTACAACATTATTAAAACCGTCAGTCGTATCTCGTAGAAACTCTTATTCAAGTTGTGTTTACGTTTCATTTTACTGAGCAAATATTTCCGGCATTTAAAATGTTACTTCAAACATTATGCAATATTTGCATTAGATGCTATATTTACAAAAGTATTGGTCTAACAGTGCGCCGATTATTTCATTATAGATAAATGTAATCACTATGATAAATAAATAGTAACATGCAAAGCTCTCAACAACAATTTTGAAGAGAATTTCGATATCAAATCCCTTGTCGCACTGAGGCCGCAAGCTATAAAAAATTATGTCTATAGAAATGTCTATAAAATGAGCGACTACGTCACCAATAGTTTCCTATGGCAATGCTATTGAAGACAAGACAGTAATATAAGTTGTGGTTTAGACTTTATAAGAAAAGATGTTTTTTTTTTCCTTTTAAACACAAAATGAAAGCGTAAAGCTTTGGTTATGGGTACTTTTATGATTTCACATTGTATTTGATGAACCTTGTCGTTTAATGAGCATTTTACAGGTAATAAGTGAACTAATTCGTTTCTTGCTTTGGGAGAAATAAGTACCTATGATTGAAATCTATAATAGTTAAAATTTATGTTTATTTTTGTTGTTGGTTAGGATTAAGGTTCAATTATTATCTTAGTGTATTCTGAGAACCCTTTATACGATTATTAGGATAATACTCGTTTCGAATGTATCGTAGCCGTACCATTGTTTGTAATATGTCAATGATAAATGAACATTAATTTTTAACTAAAAATGTTAAAAATATGAGTGTTCACTGAATTTCGCGTTTAAAGTAGTCTTACAAATGATGTTGTGTTCAAACCTGAACGAAAGAAAGTAAACTATGGTCTCTAAGTCAAAAATTTTCTCATTTCCCTGACTGTTCATCTCCGTATATTTCATTATTTGCTTTCATCTTATATGTGTAACACAGATATAGACATTTGTTTTCAAGAATGAGTAAGAAGGCGGTTGAATAATAAACCTTAGTATATTCCTATAATTTAATTGGCTTAGATTTGAAAGAATTTTTTTTGAGGCTATTTATATTCGTGAAATTATTTTCTTAAAAATCAATCGGTTAATTAGAATGAAAAACAATTACATTTTCGTATGGCAGTTGCACAGTTACGAATAGTTAAATATTTTTAAACACGTGTTAACTTACACTTTCAGCGTGAGCTCAAATTTTATTGAAAAGGCGCTGGTACCACATCGTTTTTGGTATTCTGAGCCTATTTCTACCGATATCTTATGATGGTTAATGATAATATATTTTGGAAAAAAAGGTATGTGTGTACTTATGTATGCATAAGGAGTTATACTTCTTTAGCGTCACAAAAGAGTAATAACAAAAATACGTGTGTTCCAGTACTCTTGCCAGTACTCCTGAAAGCTCTTTGTGAAAAAGACAATAAATACAGTTGATAACTATTTAATAAATTGGAATTATGGACAAATGTCAAAAAGTTGTTATTGGTTGC